AAAAAAAGACAGAAAAAAGGAAAGAGGGAAAGAAAAGAAAAGAGAGAAAGGGAGGAAGGGGAAAGGACAGTTTCAGGGAGGTTTTGCTCCCCGCAGGCCCTCCCAGCAGGACGCAGGCCCTTACTCCAGGGTCTGCCAGAACAGCCGCCAAAACTTGAGTGGCCAGAATTTCAGTGGTTGGCAGTCGTGGGTGCGCCAGTGGCCCTGACACCCTCAGTACCCAGGTGCAGGAGTGCAGAGAGGCGTGGGCAGGGGCACCCTCAGCACAGGCCTACAGGCATGCTGATACAAACACTAGTCATAGACGAAGTTTTAAAATTTTAATAGTTTGGAGTCACCATCTTTAGATTTATTGAGTGTCCAATACAGAATGCATTTTACTTTTATTGCATGTTTATCCAACTTGGGAGAAATGCCAATGTTAGTGAGAAATGCTAATGGTAGTAAGTAGTAAATTATTTTGCTCTGGTTACCACACCTGGCCTCTAATCAGAATGTACTCTCATTGGGGGCTGGGGAGATGGCTCAGTAAAATAAGCACTTCCCTCACAAGCGCAAGGGCCTGAGTTCAATCCCTGGTTCTGCAAAAAAAAAAAAAAAAGAATGTACTCTCATTTTCCAGGCAATCCGAAAATCTGTCTAGAACAGTGGTGTCTCCCACTTCAATGTTTTCCATTAGGTTACTCTCCAAGGTTTAATACCCGTTCCCCCACTACACTTATCCTGTCTTGTAAGTACAGTCATATGTTGCTTAATGAAGAAGGCTAAGGGCTGGAGGAGATAGCTCAGCAGCATAAGTGCCTGTCTGGCAAGTGCAAGGTCCTGAATTCAATCTCTGGTACTAAAAAAAAAAAGAAAAGAAAAGAAAAAAGCTCTAAGAAGTGCATCATTATATGATTTTCTCATTGTGTGAACATCATAGAATGTGCTTACACAAACTAAAAAAGCTGTAAGATCATTAGGCACCAGCATCTTAAGGAATCACTGACTACATGCAGCCCCCTTGTTGAACAAATGCTATTATGTGGCATATGATGGTTCCTTCAGAGACCTGCCCTTGAAAAATCTCTGAGGGCAGGGAGGTAGCTCAAGGGCATAAGTGCCTGCCTGGCAAACCCAAGGTCCCGAGTTCAATCCCCAGTACCACACAGACACAAAAAAAATCTCTGTGAGATGCAGAACTTTGAAACTAAAACAAGACTCTTCATTCTAATTTTATTTCCTTCCCATTGGATATTTTTAGAGTGTCTTTTAAACTTTTAAAAAATCTTTTATTTATTCATTTATTTATTTGTTACAAGATTTCACTACGCAGCAGCTCAGATTTGTAGTGATCCTCCTGTCTCAGCCTCCCCAGTGCTGGGATTACAGGTGTGCACCACCATGCCTGGTTTCAGTGGCCAACATGGCACAGCGCTCTGGGTTCTGGGGCAGCACAGCATGGGGCCACGGGGACTGAACCTGGGTCTTCGTGCTTGCCAGGCAGGCACTTGGATCCCTAAACTAGCTCCCCAGCCCAACTTTGAGCTATCTCGAGCCTCTGTCTTGAGAACCTGTGGGAAGTACTCACATTCCTTAGGAATGGAGAAACAAGATAAATAGGAGCCCTAAACTTGAAGCAGACAAAAGAAAGGAGTTTGTGGTTTGGGTGACATCATATCACCTCCCACACCCTGCCACCGGGCCTCTGAGCTCTGACCCTGAGAATGAACACAAGCCATGGCTCTCCCTGTATACTTGCTGGGCAGAACCGTAAAGAGCAATGCTGCACACACAATTGAAGAAAACCTAGGAAGAGAGCAGAAGTGGAGAAAGTCACTTACCACGCTATGAGCCACAGGAGGGCACTGTGCCTCCACAGGCTAGAAGAGAAGGCCTAGGACCAGCAAAGCGGGAGGGCAGTCAATGAGGGCACCCCTCCCCCTCAACAGCATCATTCCTTGCATTAACTCTTAAGATTTCTTGTGCACACATCTATGTGGGAAACATACACAGCCACCACCCCTTTCACACAACCACCTATGTGACAAGTATGTGCTCACGTGTACTCAGAACTGCCATTTGCTCCCATTTGTGAAGATCACCCTGCTAAGTGGTGCCTGTTAGGCAGGTATGCTGAAGACCTGCCTTCCACTCTATAATGCACTATTGTTGCCAGTGACAGCTGATGCCAGTTCTTTTGCATGTTTTGCTTAGATGCTAATGACCTCAATGATCCCATCCATAGTGTTTGCTTTTCACATGGCATTTCATTGCTCAGCTGGCTGCCCTGCATGTGGTCCCACCTTATACCCGTGCCTTATATCCATGCCCTGCCCCTCTG